CAAATATATACGTATATATATTTGTAAGTATATATATATTTGTAAGTATAAATATTTGTATATGTATATGTATTAATGTAGTAATATATCAGAAGTTTAACTTGGATCAGTTGGTTGGTTGTCAATTGGAACTCTAAAGTTAAGCGTGCTTGAGCTGGAGCAGTGGAAGGATGGGTGACCTCCTGGGAAGTGGATTTCGAGGATTCAATCTCAGAGTTTCCGATTCGGCTTAAGATCGCGGTTGGAGGTTAGAGGTCGGGAATAGGGTATAGGATTAGATTCGGGATTAAAAAAAATTATTTTTGAATCCAAAATACGTTTTAGTGACGCAATAATTGCGTCACCTTTTTTAGTCACTAAATAGTGACGCAATTGTGTCACCAAAAGGTGACGCTAAAAGGTGACGCAATTGCGTCACTATTTAGTGACGCAAAAATTGAGTCACTATTGCGTCACCCTTTGGTGACGCTTGGTGACGAAATCTGAATTGGTGACGGTATGAATGGTGACGCTTTTGGTTGCGTCACTATTGCGTCACCTTTTGAAAAGGGTGACGCAAAAATATAAAAAGGTGACGCAAAAGTTGCGTCACCCTTTTGCTGTTTTCTAGTAGTGTGATTCGTATGTCCGGATTGGAAATTCTAACTACATGCAAGCTCTGATGCAAAATTCCATCATGCAAGTTCTGATGCAAGATTCCAACATGCAAGCTCTGATGCAAAACCTGATGTAGAATCCCAACATGCAAGCTCTGATGATGTAAGCTCTGATGCAAAATCGCAACAACATGTAATCACTAGTCGAATATCCCAGCATTCAAGCTCTGACGCAAAATCACAATAACATGCCATCTCTTATCGAAGTGAAGACTTTTGTATTACTTTGGAGTGTTTGTAGTTTAAGAACTAACATAAAAAGAGTTTAGAGTTGAAAAACAAAAAGGAATCGATAGTGTGTATGAAGGAGAAAACTCCTATCTTGTGTTATTATTCGTGAGAGCTATACATATCCTCTAATAAGACTCAGAGAAAACGACTACAAAGAAAACAAATCAATTGAAAATACACAAAAGGAAAGATATAAAACAAATTAGAAAGGCAAAGCATTAAAGCGGGGTGGATACATGTAATATATGTAAGGTAAGAATCATGTGATTGTCTTGATTGATTTTGTGCCAAGATTCCTTCTTGAAAGTGCTATCAAACGGCTAGTTGACTTGGAAATTAATCAACCATAATTATTGTCCAAATATGCTCACTTGGTTATCAAAGTGGATGATTCAAGATTTCTTGTTTAGCAAACTTCATTATCTTCAAGATGAAGATCCCAACATTCAAGCCCTGATCGAAGACCCCAACTTTCAAACTCTGATCGAAGATCCCTAACTTGTTTTTGAATTGAAATCGTCATTATAATTCTTAGACTTGTAAAATATGTCATTATAATTCCATAACTTGTTTTTGAATCGAAATCGTCGGGTATTTTTTCTGATACTAATTAACAAGTTTAGAAATTATAATGACACCGATTAACACGTTTGAGAATTATAATGATATATTTTATAAGTTCGAGAATAAATTTATCAAACAAAAAATTTATGAATTTGTTTTCCACCGTTTTACAAGTTTAGGAATTTTTATGGGTTTTACTAAACAAGTAATTAGATTTTTAATTTATATAATTGGTGTATCAAATATTAAAATATCCATCTCAAATCATGAAATCAAAAAATTTATTGAAGATTTCAAATCAAATCATGAAATCGAAAAAATATTGAAGATTTCGAATAAATTATTGTGATAATATGTGAATGCTATTTATCTTTTAAAAAAGTTATATATCATCTTTGAAAAATTGTTTAATGGATTATTTGGGTTAATCCATTAAACCCATTTTAATCCATTTAATCAGTTTAATATTCTAAATCATTTCTAACAAGAATAAAAAAATATTCAATTACATTATCATTCTACTTGTTTAGAATTTAAAAAGATTTTTTTTTTTCTAATTTTAAAATACTAAAAAAATAATTTTATATACGTAATTTAATATTGTAAAATTATAATTTTTTACATATGACGAAAATTATCCAAAAATATATATAAACAATTATATTAAATTACGTTAATATCAATATCCACAAAATAAAATAAATAATATATATAAATAAAATGATTCAAATTAAGTTAATTTCGATTCGCATCGATTCAATTCATTTCGAATCAATTCGATCGATTCGATTCGAATAGATCCGTTTTGATTCATTTCGAGTCGACTTCGGTTCGATTCGGATCGAATTGATCGTTTTGATTCGTTTTGAGTCGAATTCTATTAAGATCAAATCAATCCGTTTTGATTTATTTTGGGTCGAATTCGGTTCAGATCGAATCGATATGTTTTGATTTGTTTCGAGTCGAATTTGATTCGATTCGAATCGAAATGACCGTTTTGCTTCGTTTGGAGTCGAATTCAATTAAGATCAAATCAATCCGTTTTGACTCGGTTTTTTTATTATTTTTATATTTGATTTGGATTCGATTTTTATTTTAAAATAAATTTTGTACATTCGATTTTATATCGAATTTTAACATATCTTATTGGGTTTAAATTAATTCAATTTTTGTTTTGAAATATAAATATATTGACTTTATTTATAAATACATTTTAAATATTTTATTTATTGAAAACTAATATCAATAATGTTTAATGAATTATTTGGGTTAACCCATTAAATCTATGGTTTCAATGGGTTTAAATCCATTTAACCCATAAAACAATTGTAACCCAAAAAAATAACCTAAATATAATAATAATTGGGTTGGGTTAACTCATCTAAACCAATCCAATTTGGTATCTATAGAAGGAAAAAAAACTATTTTAAGTGTATCACTAATCGATTTTATAAATAAAAAATTAAAAAAATCAAATACAAGGGATTTGTGTTAGAGTTTGTTGATATCATGTTTTCCTTTTTTTTTCATAAATTCTATCTTGATGGGTTTATGCTAATAACGACAAAATCTTATTCTAAAGAATAATATAACGACCATATTTTATAACACAAAATGCCACTTCACGAATCAAACACAATTTTAAGTTACATTTCAAGAGTAATCAAACATTACCAAAATCGTTCATCAAAACTGTATCCCAAGATTTCCTCGATCCGCATTGTTTCCTTATTGTTTTTTTTTGGGTTGAATGTTTTCTTATTGTTTGTTAAACTTTATCTCTAAGACGATTCGATGAAGTTACTAACGTGTACCTTATTTCACAAGTAACAATTTCTATAAAACCTCAAGGGTTTAGGGATTTTAGGCTCTCTCTCTCACCTTCTAGGGAATTTGTTACTGCGACAATCCCTCGGAAAGACACAAACGTGGGAGAAGACGAAAACTGGGTTTCAGATTTTGCGGCGGAACTGGAAGAAGCGATGTCAGATCCTTTAGGAACGAGGATCGACCCCTACCAGCTGCTGCTCCTTGTGATGAAGACCTTGAGTACTTCAAATGGTTTCTTTTTTTTTTATAATGGTGGGAACCCACCATACGGTCCTTCGGGTCGGACCCCGACTGCCTCGCAGTCCTCAGGCCGGACAATCGGTATCACGAACAGTAAACCTCCGACCCTGCGCAATAGCCGATAAACCACACAGCAGGTAAACCAATCTCGTAAAGCTGACCAGCTCAAGGAGAGTTTTCACACCTGGGTTTCGAACCCACAACCTCTTGGTAGAGGGAGTTTATCATTAACCACTAGGCCGGAGACTCCCTACCTGAAATGGTTTCTCAAATAAATAATTAAGAGAATATGCCTATTTTGTCTTTTTTTTTTCTATTATTCAAAAGCAAATGTAATTAAAAAAACCCTTTTGCTTCAATAAAGAAAGATTCACAATGTTTCTGATAATGTATTGCATATGCATAAACACGCACTCTGATTTTTGCATTACTCAAAGCTGTACGTCATGAAAACCACGTCACCACGTATAATTGTTCTGAAACCCAAAAATAAATAAATAAAAAATAACTAAACAGAAAACCGAAATATCAACCCAGCCCACAGCTCGTTGGGCCGGAAAAGGCCCGTTAAAATTTTAATTCAAGCCATCTCTAGAGTGCAGTACCTTAACATTTACTCATATGTGAAGATTCTTCATCACAGAGGGAAGAGATATACATAAAACCAAACAAGAAGGAAACAAATGTTGTTGTTTTTTCCCGATGAAATCACATCATTCAAACCATTTTAACAAAACAGTATCATCCAGATTTTTCAAAGGTTGTTCTAAGCAGCAGAGACTGCAGCTTCGGGAGTGTACCAACCATGGTGGATCTCCACAGCCTTCTTCATCCTCGCCAGCCGAGACTTTCTACGAGCCCCCGTGTTCCTGTGCAGTGATCCGGCCTTCACTGCTTTGTCAATGGCTGAATATGCCTCTCCTATCAGTTTCTCTACCTGTAATATCTCCTCCGCTTGAGCATCTGCTTTCTTCTTCAGGCCGTCCAGTACTTCCAGTACCTGTTGAACGGTATAAGGACATCATTTTACGCGCATCACCCTCAAATATGATTCTCTCTTCCTCTTTGCATAAAAAGAGACGGGAAGATTTGTTCGAAAGCATTGCAGCTTCATCGCTTCTTTGGTATCAGAAGTCGAAATCTTTTCAAGGATGGTGAAATTTACGATACAATCTTCTCAGAGGGCTACATATTAGAGACCTCGGCAGAAGGTTTTGGCTCTGACTGAAACTAAGCAACAATTTCTCATGTGATTTTACCCTCTTCAATCGGATATCCTAAGCTTCTCGTAAATTATTTGCTGCTCTCAGTGAAGAACTTCCTCACTTTCTATACCTCTCTAAACTTTAAAGAAATAATGGCAGCCTATGAGTTTACTCTTGAGTTAGCTCTTC